CTGCTCACAAGCAGGTGAAGAGTGTTCATTGGATTACTCTTTCTTTCCTTCCTTCCTTCCTTCCTTCCTTCCTTCCTTCCTTCCTTCCTTCCTTCCTTCACAGATCAGCGCGTCCCCCCCACCAGCTAGCAATCCAAAACAGTCCAATAGCACCTTTAAGGTGAAGTTTTATTCAGGTACAAGCTCTCCCTCCTCTGCTAGGGCAGACCTGCACGTCCCCCTCCCCCCCAATAGCCAGGAATCCAAATCAGTCCAGTGGAGCCTGAGCGGTGGGTGGTTGCCTTCTGACACACTTCCAGTGATGTCAGGGGGTGTGGCACATGCAAATGAGTTATGCTAATGAGTTATGCTAATGAGCTCCTGCACCTCTTTTTCTATGAAATGACCCCTGACCGCCACACACCCTTTCTAAGCTTATTAGCTTCAACGGACAGAAGGGTCTACCTTGGCTGAGGATCACTCTGTCTGTTGCTGAGAAGTGTTTCCGTCTTCATCTTCTGTTTTTTGCACATTCAAATCTTGTACTGAGAGGCAATTAGCGACATCCCCTTTGAAGTGAATTGAAGGGAAAATGAAACACAAGATGCTGAGGTCTGAGAGATCGAAAAAACGTGAAAAGTCTCATTTAAAAGCACGGTAGGGAAGTTACTGAGAAGTGTTTCCGTCTTCGTCTTCTGTTTTTTGCACATTCGAATCTTGTACTGAGAGGCAATTAGCAACATCCCCTTTGAAGTGAATTGAAGGGAAAATGAAACACAAGATGCTGAGGTCTGAGCGATCGAAAAAACGTGAAAAGTCTCATTTAAAAGCACGGTAGGGACTCCGACGATGAGTAAGGAGGTGTTAAGACTTCAGCATTGTTGTGGTGTTGGTGGTGGCTGTTCCAGGGGATTATGAGCTGAAGGGGGAAATTATAAGGTTTCATGTTTCAGTGAGCCCCCATAAGAACTAACACGGGGGTCCTTACAGATTTCAGATTTCATACCTGTGTAACTTTAGTCCGCAACCTACCTTGATAAAATGGGATTATTTTCATATTACATCAACTAAAACTGAATGCAGTTTCTTAGCATTAATATGGAGCCGTTGTTCCCTGTGGTTTGCTTCACTTTCCACAGAGTGCCGAGTAATGAAAGCCACCCCTGCGACTACTCCAGGCAGCAAGTCCTCCCCGACACCTCAGAAGAGTTCGGCCAAGAGCCCAGCCCCTGTGCGCCGGAGCAAATCCCCCGCTGATTCAGGTAACCTTCAGGATGGTGAGTGGCCATTTTACACAGCAGATCAGTGCTGGTGATGATGAGTTTTGCATCAAGGCCATTGAGCCTCTTTCATGCGTGGGCACAACTTGGTTCAGTCCCTCCAGAAACGCTTGCCATGTAAATGGACTGCATGTGTTTTTAATTCTGTGATTTAATGTGAGGGCTTGTACACGTGTTTGCTGATATAGGCCTCTATGGTAGCTGTATCCAAGGTGGTGAAGTTGACAGGATTTGTTCGGATGGTTTGTGACAGAAGACGGAGGAGAACTAGAGAAAAGGTGATCAAGTCCAGGTTGGGAAA